TCCTAAAAGCTTCTGGCAAGGCATATTATGTGAGAACTGGTTTAGAGGTAGGTCTGCCTGAAACATTGCCAACAAGAGAAAACAGAGTCAGGAATAATTATCACAGTCATCCTCCCTATTTTTGGAAGCATAAAACGGATATGGCATGTTTGAAGCCCTGTCCCGGGAGCCCAAAGGTGGAAGAGGGATTCCTACTGACATTTATTTAYTATCCCTACTGGAATCAGTAAGCGTGTCTAAAAGTCAGCAAATTTTGTCATTATTCATGCACATTATTCATGCATCTGACAGCAATGGCAACTTCTTTTAAAACTTTTTCTTAAATTAAAAAAACCTTGCAAAGACTATATAAACCTAGCTTGACATATAAACCTAGTCTCCATGCTTCTAGGTAGAATAGGATTAGGCTGAAAATAAAGCTATCTCCTACCTTCAGGTATAACCTACAGATATAGGAAAATGCATTTCAAAACTGAAAATACTCACACAATTTTCTAACAAATCCTCACACAATGCACATGGGTTCCTAATACATCCATTTAAAACTATCAAGAAATAGCAGGCCACAGAAGACAACATGGTGAAAAGAAAACTGTACTAGGTTTAGGGGGCACACTCTGGTCCTGTCAGTGACTATGTCTACCTCGGTGACCTAGATACTAGGTGGGGGTATCCCTGAACCTATCTCACTCTCTGTTGCCAGATCTAATCAATCCAGGAATTAGTCCAGATCATTCTTTAAGTCCCTTCTCCTAAATTCTGGTTCTATAATTTTGAGTGCCCCCTTTATTTACCCAGTTAGATCTGAGTTCTATGTTACCATAGTAACCTAATACTATTGCTTGGGCATGAAAATAGTTGCCTTATGATGTGAATGTCCCTGTGACAGAATGTAAGTTAGAAGTTAAAGACAATAAACACAAGCACCATGCATGCACACATGCCCGCGTGGGCACGCGCGCACGCACACACACACCCACACCCACACACACAGCAACATGGTAGTAGAAAGAACCTGTTTGGAGATTTGAGCAAGATATACCTGTTTTGGATCTAGATTTCACCACTGATGGGACCTGAGATTTTGAGCAAGTTGCTCAATCTTCTTTTGCAAATGAGCATAATAATGGCATCTACTTCATGGRATATGTGATGATTTAGTGTTACAGTACATCAAAAAGACTAAAAAACAGTAGGTACTATCAGTGCCAGCTATTATTAGATTATTAGTAGCTATTCCAATTATCATCTTAGTGTGTAATTACTTCAATCAGTTTGCTCCCTCTCTCCTTCCACCTTCCCAAACAGATAAGATCTGAGAGAAGACATGTAACCTGCCCCTAAAAGCTCACAGCTTATAGGGGGAAGAGATAAATAAATCTAATGTGGGGCTGGGATGTAGCTTCAGGGGTATAGCATGTGCTTAGCATGCATGAGGCCCTGGGTTCTAAGTCTTGTACCAAAGGAAAAAAAATTCCCCCAAACGAAAAACACCTCCAATGAAATGGAGAACTATCATAGATCTATTTTACACAAATTGCCATGAAATATAGTAAACTTTGCTAGAAAGGGTCCATATCTTGTACCCCTATGTATCTTATACAAATATTTGTAAATGTGAATGATGGATTATTTCTAGAATGTTGCCTTAAGGAATCCCAACAAATTATTGGTTTATAAGACAAAGCACATGAAACTGAGTCCCTTTAGGTTCTTTTGGAACAATCCTTTGGATGAAGTTCAAGATTAATCTTTCTTATTCAGGATTCCACTCCCTAGCAAATGGTGGTACAGTGTAATTCTGGAATTATAATAAATAATCATTATTATATACACAGAAAAGATAATTACTTGGGCCTAGTTGGGAGTTAAAGAAAGTGTTCAGATTGAGAGACATCAAAGCAAAGCTGATTATCTTGGTAACTGAGTTCACACCACAAATTTGACATAAGATTTGAAAGGAATTTATGATTCATTATGTGCTGGCATTAGTTCAAGAAGAGAGCATTTTTAGATACTTATTAATATAACAAAAAAAGACAGTTTTTGTATCTCAGTGAGATGATTACAATATATTTGGCTATTGCCTGCACTAATACAACACACCTGAGAATCAGAGTCACCTGAACAAGTCCTACTACCACAGACTAAATTAACAATTCCTACTGAAGCCTTCTGTATCTGGGAAAGGCTCTGATTCTTGTTTTTTCCTTTTTTTTTTTTTAAATGACAGACTGATGGGTGAAGAGAGAGGGAGAAGAATGTCATAATCAAAAGGAACAAACTAGACTTCATTATATCCTGTTGCTAAGTACTTATTTCTTTCTGACATAATGACACTATCACATACAAATAATTTTCATTCATCCAGCCAGCCAAGAGCCACAAATACTGAACACACTCTCCGTGTACCTGGTAAGTGCTGAGCTCACAAAGATTGCTCCTTCTCTTAGAAAGTTCTCTAAAGGTCAAGAGTCCCCTGTAAACACACCTCCCTCCTCAGACAGGAGGCACACCACCATTGACCAGTTACAAATAGGCTAAGAAAGGAGGCCCAGTGGCTGCTTCGAGAGGCATATGACCTTACAGGGTCTCCTCCTGGCCCAGAGGATTGGAAGACAAAACCATCTAGTGAACCACCCAGCCTGTAGTGTCTGCTTTCTTTGTTGCCCAGTAGTTTTTCAAAGATTTAAATACATACTGGTGATCTAAATTTATATACGTTTAAATTGCAGAGTATTTGAGCTGGAAAAGTGAAAGTGATTAACCAACCCAGCTCCRCATTCTTTTTACTTGAAGATCAGAAAGGCAAAATAATTCGCTCAGAGGACAGAGCYAGGAAAGGTGGAGCCAGGACCAGAACCCAGGTCTTCTTGCCTCTGCTTAGGGCTCCTTCCAACATGTCATGCTGACCCAGTAAATATCAGCATGCTGTCTGCAGGAACAGAGGACCATTCAAAATCTTTGCCAGCTGGTCTAGTACAGACACTGAGTAACCACTATGGAATGGCAATCGTACATGGCAGTGCTGTCCTATGGATGAATATAAGAAATGGTTATTGCTACATCCATAGCTACCTAGCTAGGGTTTCAATTTTTAACCTAATCATGGTGGCCATCAGTGATATTTGCCAACTGCTTCATTTCCTTGGAGAAAATCATGCACTTACACTATAGCATCTCTAGTCTGTTGCCAACCCTATAAACAGGTAGGAAGAGAGACTGAAAGTGTGTGTGAGTGTGGTGGTAGTACATGCAGACATCAGAGGACTGTTGCATGGGAACAAGATGACAAAAAGGCTGATTGCTGTTAATGTGCGTTCATCTGGCACAGGCAGCTGAAAATGTACACTATGATTAAAGGCCTTATCCAGATCATAGCCGTGGCCCTGAAATGGACACTGAGCGTGGGTGGAGGAAGCAAGGTAGGACAGGAAGCTCCTCTTTCCCAAGCCTGGCATCAGAAGAATCGGACTTAGGAAAGACCTGCTAGATCACCTCTTTCCTGGGCCAGCAGCAGGGTGAACACTGAAGACTAACAATCTCAGGGTTTCAAAGTGAGTCACAAATTCCCCTATTCCCTCAGGGAGATGCTACTTCAGAAGAGCATTCCTGTACTTAATGGAAGGAAGAGCTGGTTTGTCTCCCAGATGATGCTCAGCATTCTGCTGTCCTTAAGTGCTGTGTGACCTAACCTCAGTTTTCTTGCATGCAGAATGGAAGATAGCACTGCATATGATATGTGATATATAGGGAGACAGTGATGAGAGAGATAAGACCATGTCCTAAGGCAAAACTATGAAGTTACTCTATAATGGACAACATCAGAGGTGTATAAAGTTATCTGAAAGGGACATATAGGTACCAGGACAGCAGAACTTGAAATGTAACATAACTGAAAGTAAACAAAGATCATGTCCGACAAAAGTGTATGTGCTTTGGGTGGTGGGGAGATTTTAGTACTAGCAGTCATGGAAGTACAGAAGCCAGAGAGACTTGGAGGAAAATGCTAGAAAGGTCTGTTGGACAGACCCTAGGAATAGTATCCACCCATCAAGGCCACTACAAATATCCAGTGGGTCCAACGGAGGTCAGCAAACATTCCTCTCATGTACTTAGCCAACTTTCCCCACTGCTGGGCCCACTGAGCAATACTCTAATAACTCACCTTTTCACATCATTTGCCTCCATTTGAGAGGAAATGTGCTTGTCAGGATAATAAGAGTATCTGATCTAAGAGACTGTTCTATGTCTCAAAGTGAATTAAGACACTGTTGATCCAGTTTATACATCAGCCTCTTTTGAGCTTTGTCAACGTGAGTTAACATCCTACAGCCTAAAACTTCAAGCTGATGAGTCTGAGTTTCTTGGTTTGAAAGGCTGACATTCATAGTTTTAAGCTCAGGGTCTTAATAGACATCAGTTTGCTTCAGGAACTCCTGAGAGGACAGTATTCTCAAGATTGTTCCATGGCTACCCACTGTGTGCACATAGGTAAAGGGGACAGTAATAATCCCCAGGGCAGCAGCAAGTGTAAAGGGACACAAGGATGCATGAGGGAGGGGGGGCTTCAGGGAACCTGGGGTGAGGCCGAGGGTTGTACAAATGACAGAAGGGGAAAACTGCTGAGGGAGCCTCCTCTTGTCCATTCCCCACTAAACCTGACACAGGTTGAATATCCCTTATCCAAAATGCTTGGGACCAGGCCRACATGATGGTGCATGCCTGTAATTCCAATGCCTTGGGAGACTGAGGCAGGATGATCACAAGTTTGAGGACAGCCTGGGCAACCTAGCATGACTCTGCCTCAAAATTTTAAAATAAAAGGGCTGGGGATATAGCTCAGTGGAAGAATGCCCTGAGTTCAATCAAGAAAGAAAGAGAAGACCTCATCAGATAAAGGGGTGATATGTCCAGAGAATATTCTAAAAGGAAAAAGTATCCCACATCACCTTCCCCAGTCTCCTCTTCACCACAGTTTCTAGTTCAGAGCCACTTACCTTTTTCTTCTTCTTCAAAATCACTTTCACTCCATCCACTGAAACCATAATGCTCACTTTCTTCTTCTTGATATTCTTGGCTTTAAACTCATACTGCAAAGGAGAAGAGAACAAAGGAACAGAAACTGATTAGACCAGTGCATCTTCGGGACCCCAGCTAGCCCACAGAGTGCCAAGGCAGTCCTAGGGGACTGGTGCACTTCCTGGGCACAGGGAGAACCTCAGGGGATCTTTCTAGGTAGATGTCTTTTTTTTTTTTTTTTTAAGGTAGATGTCTGCAGGCAGGGGCTCTCAGGTAGTCCCTAGGTTAGAACAGGGACCTTAAATGGTCATCAATCCCACCACCCAGCCAACAGCTCAGACCAAAGGAATGACTCATCACAATGAGATTGACTTAATACATCCTACTGAAATGAAAATACAACCTGTTTTGAAAATCTCATCAACATATCAGAACCTTCCCTCCATAACTTATTCTATTATTTAATGACTTTGTCAGGAAAGAATTCCTTGCGTCTAACCAAATGCTGCTGGAACTCCATTCTATCCCTGGTGAAGATTAAGAAGAACTGATACCAGTCTTCATATCAGGGCTTTTCACATATAAAAAATCAATTATGAATTTTTTTGGAGGGTGGGGGCAGGAACTGGGGATTGAACCCAGGGGCACTTTACCATGAGCTACATTCCCAGCCTCACTCCTTTTTTAAAATTTATTTTAAGACAGAGTCTCACTATATTGCCTGGGTTATAAACTTGAAATCTTCCTTCCTCATCTTCCCAAGTGCTAGGATTACAAGTATGTATCATGTTGCCCAGCCCACCCCTCTATTTTAAATTCACCTTTGCAGTTCTGGACAGGCTAATCCAACTGCAGCTCTGAACTCCTGAGGAATGTAGCCCATCCACAATCCCATATCTTTCTGTTACATTTTGGCATTCATAGCCATTTCTCATACTTGCACAGCTTTTTATCACTGGTGGTCGAATTCTGACTTCTCCCACAGTGAACTTCATTCTGAGAAATTYGTCAGTTTATTAAAACCATTTTTTCCAGGTGCAGTGGCATACACCAGWAATCTCAGCAATTCAGAAGGATGAGACAAGAGGATTACAAGTTCAAGGCCAACCTCAGTAATTTAGCAAGGCCCTCAGCAACTTAGTGAGACCTTGTCTCAAAGTTAAATAAAAAGGGCTTGGGATGCAGCTCAGTAGTAAAACACCTTAGGGTTCAATCCCAGAAGGATGGGAGGGAGAGTTCTATGTCCTGGTGTTTGGCTCTGGACATGACCCATCCCACATAAAACAGTCCCCTTTAGGTCAATAGTGGGATTATTGAAGGCTACAGTTGGTCAGATTAGCATGCACTTGAGGATACCGCTCCAACTCACACTGTATGGCTTTGGCTGTACCATTCTGTTCAACTCTAGTGCTGGATGAACTGAAATGCCCTCTAGGTGGAAGAACTGGAATGGTAATCTATGAATCCGCTGACCATGTGCTTACTGGAGAGGTGAACTAGCCACTTTTCCTGACCACACCCACATTTACCTCTGCTCTTTTGGGCTTTCATCAACACAAATTTCCAGCTACACCTCCTTCAGAACAAGTCACTAAATCAAGGTTGCTCCTGTAACCAATAGAGTGCAGAGGGGGTGCTCCATTGAACTCCATTGAAGTTAAGAATGTAAAAGTCTGGATATGYCCAAGAAGAGGACAAAACCTGCCTTAGATAGATCAGTTGCCAACTATTAACAATTTTGGACTCTTCCAGTAAGTCACTTTCACATGCTCCATACACTTCCCTCTTTCCCTTGTACAGCAACAAAAATCAAAGCAGAAATGTCAACTCTCTGCCTCTGCAAGGGACTATGTCGTTCTCCCCAGCCTGGGTTTTAGTGAGCAAATTGCCTGCTAAGCAGACCCTTAAATGCCTGGTATCTCCAGAAGAAGCTTACAGTTGACTAGACCTTTCTTTCTTGTTTGGTCCACTTCCCTGGTGGGTTCACTGTCTCCAGGACCTTTCTATAATCAAGACCCATCACCTAAGCCTGCCAAGAGGCACCCAGCCAACTCATTGTTTGTGTATCTGGAAACTTAAGTATTTCTACAGTTAATGTTTTGCCAAGTTTGGCCATGCATTTAATACCTTCATGTTAAGAATTCAAAATGCAGCTAAACATTTTGTTGGAAACTGGAAAACAGTCTCTAATTCAATCACCATGTACATACCCCCAGATAGCTCCCTGTAAAGGGCACAGTGACTACATAGAAAAGCATGACCCAATTTTTTCCCAGAATCTCAATAACAGTGATAATGCAGGTGCTCCTTACAACARCTGATGGAATGTTTCAAGATGAAGAGGGTCCAGAAAGGCAGAAAGCAGGTCTACAGGTCCTATCACAGCTGCCATTACTAACGAGTGCTATCTACAAGGACTCTTAGGTTGGTCACACTCTGCATCTATTCTATCTGCTTCCTGATGCCCCCAACCCCTTCCAACTGCAGAATTAGAATTAAATTGCACTTTTGTTAGAAACACTGGACACAAAGGTACATCAAGTATCTGAAAAGGTTTAAATATTTATCAGGAAGCCTTTTATTTCTATGGCAATTACACTTCACTTAGATGACATGATAGCATGTTATCATRCTCTTTAGGGGGGAAATGGGTTTGAAAAGAAGGGTAGCAATGCAGTAYCCAGGAGAACATAGAAGAGAAGAGCTCTTAGGGACAAGTCCTCCTTTTTCCCAGACTGCTGCTCTGTCTGAGGTGGAGCACTGTCTGGGCAGGCAAGCTGGGGAGGAAGCATCTGTGTTTCTTGGGACACGAATCCAATCTGCTTAGGCTTTGCCAGGAGCTGAAGAACAAACAGGACTTCTGGTGCCACYGTCTGTGGCCCATGCCAGCCCAGAGTATGTGCCAACAGGCCTGGCCCTCCACCCACTGGCCAGGCTGTTCTGATACATTTGCTTTACTGGCCAGAGCTCTACCAGCAAGGGCAGAATAAACCCTACAGACCTGACCTTTGAGGGAACAAAACAATACAAGTCCRGGAAGACCAACTAGAGATTGGAAAGCCTACAAGTGTTTGGGATTCATAAACAGAGCCTTGGGGTCTTGTATTGAAATAGCAGCCATGGAACTTAGTGTCCTGTGCCAATCAGTAAGCCCAGGAAGGGGAGACTGGGTAGAAGATCCAACAAGAGCCAAGATTAAACACTCAACAAGTAACATGAGCAGAAATATTGGCTGGATGCTGGAAGAGCTGCTTCCAGACCAACAGCCTGGCTTCTGAGCATCTCCTGATTCCCACAACTCTCTCCTAACCCAACATGTCCCAGCCCGTCACTGGGTATCTAAGGAGGGGCAGCAGGAAGTCTACAGCAGCAAAGTTGGTGAAACAGTTAAGATGGAGGTCTAATGAAGGGACCAGTCCAGTCCTGGACCTCAAGCTGTACGCAAAAATAGAAGCAGAAAAGTTGATTTCTTAGAGAAGTAGAAGTTGAGGCAAAAAAAAAAAAAAATCCCTGGATGTTTGACAAGAGCTGATTTTTAAACAAAAATATATTTTTCCCCCCACAGGAACCTTGGATCCTCAATCACCTGGACTACAAATAATTTGGCTAGTGAAATACTTTCTCATCTGCTTCACAGGAAGCAGGTCCTCTCATTCTTCATTATGAAATTCRCTTTTCCCTTACCCCTTTCTTCAACCAAGTACATTAACCTGGGACCATCTTATAAATGGTTTGTAAGAAGTCCTTTTGTWTTTTAATTATGAGCTTAATAACAGCTGGGAACAGCAGCACATGCCTGTAATACCAGCTACTTGTCAGGTTGAGGCAGGAGGAACACAAATTCAAGGTCAACCCAGACCATTTAGTGATACCCTGTCTCAAGAAAAATATAAAAAGACCGGGGATATATTTCAGTGATAGAGCATCCCCAGGTTCAATCCCCAGTACCCCCCAAAAGTTAAATAGAGTTTAATAACTTACATATTAAGTTACAAAATCTGAGAACTGCCATGTTCAAGATAGCCAAAAAGTGCCCATTAATGGAAGAATGGACACACAAAATGTGATCCATACATACCACAGAATGTTATTCAACCCTAAAAATAAAGGAAATCCTGACACACGCTACAACATGGATGAAACCTGAAGATATCATGCTAAGTGAAATAAACCAGTCATTAAAGATAAATATTTTATGATTCTGCTTCTATGAGGTACCTAGTACTATCAAATTTGTGAAGACAGATAGTAGTGTGATAGCTTCCAGAGACTGACAGAAGGAAGTAATCTGCAGCTAATATCTAATRGGTACGATTTCAGTTTTGAAAAAATTCTGGAGATGGGTGGTRGTAACAGTAATACAAAATGTGAATATATACTTMATGGCACAAAATTGTCCATTTAAAAATAGGTAAGACAGTAAATTTTATGTTATGTATACTTTACCACAATAAAGATACAAAACCTAAAACACTGTACGATTAACACATTTCTGCTCCCAGTAACTCCAYTTTAATTCTTGCAAAAGAATATTTCTGCAGCTTCCCAACATCTAAGTTAAACATGCCATACTTTTTTCTACTACCCTTTAATTGCATTTGCTAATCCCCATGGCTAGAATGCCCTGCCCACATCATCTGCTAGGGAACTCCTGCTTATTCTAGAAGTATCAGCTCAGGCTTCTCCACAGAGAGGCCTTCAGGGTCAATGACCTTTCCCACTTCCTCCCATGGAGTTGCTCTATCCACTTGGTTAGTACCAAGTTTGTGGGCCTCAATTATCACTCACTGTGGATTGGTTGCTTACCTATTTTCCTGGAAGGCCATGCCCTCCTTGAGAGAAAAAAAAAATCTTACATATATTTATGCCCAAGAAAATASCACTAGAACCATACAAAAGTAATAAACAAAGATTAAATTCATGAATACGGTTGACAGAGGTTACTCACAGAGCCCAAGAAAAGCTAACACTGTATACAAGGGTAATCTAATCTTTCCAGAAATTAACTGACAATTTAAGTTACTAAAACATGGATTACAACCATACTACAAAGACTTTAAGAAGATCTGAT